GAAAACTCAGAGCACTCAAAGAGGATCTCTGCCTAAGCATATGCCTCAGCTTTGACATTGTATGACTTGACTAGAGAAAGCTGGGTGACCTCAAACAGCTACAGCAATGTTACCTGCAAGGGGTGGAGGTTGGGATCATCATGTCAGCACGGACAAAAACAATGAGCTGCTGTGGTCACTGCTCCTGAGCCTGCCATTGGTGAGTGGCTAAAATAGGCATCCTTTCACAAACACAGGTGACTTAAAATAACAAGAGCTCAGGCACTGTGTTACCTGCTTTGCCACAGATACTACAGCAGCTCTCGTCTGGACTCAGTCACCCCACTGTGAAGTATTCACAGCTTTACAGCTCATTCTCCTTCTGAGAGGACATAAGGAAATGCAGACAGGGCTTATTGCAAGGGATGCAAATGAACACTTGGCCACCTCTTTTCTGGTGGGTACAGGGCTGAACTGCCAAAGAGCTGTAAACCTTCTGTCTTGAGTAAAGAAACCTCTGAGAGCAGCCTGATGAACTCAGTTCAGTACTGCACAGCCAGATGGCTTCTGGATCAGAGCTGACTCATGCCCACCTAGCTCAGAGTCAGCCGAAACATGCAGATACCTAAAGTGAGCTGGTAGGAGACACTTCTACTGATGTAACTGCATTCACAGCAAGGTAGATAGCTCTGATGGTAAAAAGCAAAGGCATTCTGCCAACTGCCATAATGATAATGTTGCAGAACCAGAACAGTAACAGGCCTGAGTTACCTTAATGAACAGAAAAGCATCAGACAGGTGAAATCCCAGTGGAGCCCTGTGACCACCAAGGGAGCTGAAGAGAGGCAATCTTCCATTATAGTAGTGACAGGGATGGTGAGCATAGGCTGTGGATAAGCTGGTAGTATAAGAGAAGGGTGATAGAGTCAAACAGTGCAACAGTGGTCTCAGAGAGAAAGAGGGACTTGGGTATCTGCTTTTTCACTAGAGCAGTGTCCATCAGCCTCTCCAACTGGCTTCCACACTGGCTTGGTTCTTAATGAACTACAGCTTAGGAAATGTGGGATATACAAGCTCTGCCTAGTCATTGCTGCAGACCACCATTTTTAGAGTAATGAATAAAGAGACAAAAAAGGGAAAATGAAGAAATAAAGGTGAAGTGTAACCAAAAAAACTCTTAAATTACCCAAAGCAAAAGTAAGAGGGAGAGGGTGCATTATCAAAGCTGGGAATTTGCAGCATAGATGACGAAGGTGGCCCTGTTATCTAAGATGGTAGAACACAGATTATACATACTTAATAGCTGTTTAGCTTGTATTTGTTGGACTGTCACACCTAGAGGCTGTTTCTAGAGCCATGGGGAGTGACAGAAAGGTTATGATTGAATTCAAGGGCTTTTGACTGGGAGTCACATTCACAGAGAAACTTAGAAACCAGTGGTAGTGTAAGACTTCCCTGCATTCCCTGTTTTCAGACGTCAGATGATAAAGCAAGTCAGGTGCTAGCTGTATTTGTTGAGTTAATCAGGTTTGCAGATTACCTGCAAGATCCTCAATTATGCTTATATGCAAACGTGAGGAACATGTAACACGCAGCTGATGAGATGAGATATGAAGGATGAAGCTTATGACAGAAGCAGAGGAACAAATGGATAACATCTAGTTAGGAAAGAGAGAAAGGGAAGGTGCAGACAGCAATGGGGTCAGGGTGATGGATAATGAGTTCTCTCATCTTTTCAGAGCAAGTATTTAAACTCTGGTCACTGTTCTTTTCTCCCTGAAACGGCAAATGCTGACCCATAAGAGAATTTTTAGTATTTTTTCTTTTGCATTGCAATAATATCTCAAAAACCTACTCAGAAATCAGCATCTGCATAATTTCCAGAGACACAAAGTGTCTTTGTACAATTAGATGCCTGTAAAACCCTTTAACCAGAGGTGTAGATACTCTCTGTGATTTTCTTGCAAGCAAACAAACAGAGATTTATGACTGGTATCAAAGAGAAATTTCCTGAGCAGGGAAGGGAGCAGGCTTCAAGGAAGAGCTTTACTTCAGTCCAGCTTAACACTATACATGTTTTTCTGTGTTCAGCTGTGACAGTTATTTTTCTCCTTCCTAGAGGCTGGTGCAGTGCTGTGTTTTGGCTTTAGTCTGAGAACAATGCTGATAACACACCAATGGCTTAGTTGTTGCTAGGTAACATTTACTCTGATGAAGGGCTTTTCAGTCTCATATGCTGCCAGTGAGGAGGGGCACAAGAAGTGGGAAGGAAGCAGAGACAGAACACCTGACCCAAACTTAGTTTTATATTCTCTCCCCTCATTATTTTCCTTATCATTATTATTATTAGTAGTAGCAGTAGTTTTGTATTATACTTTCATTATTGGATTGTTTTTATCTCAACCCACGGGGTTTACATTCTTTTCATTCTCCTCCCCATCCTGCCTGGAGGAGAGTGGCTGAGTGGTGCTGAGTTACCAGCTGGGCTTAAACCACGACACATCTGTACTCAGCTTTACATATTTCTCTGCAGGTTGGACTGGTGCTCATCCTCTGCTGGTGCAGGTCTCTGCTCCCAGCCCCAGTCACCATGAACTCTGAGGGAACTGGGGATGTTGCACAGGGCCTGTGTGACTGTGGCAGATCATTTCTCCAGCAGGAGAAATTCTCCAGCAGTCTTCTTCTCCAGGAAGACTTCTCTCTGCACATTTTTTACCAGATGGACCACACAAAACCCAGCAATCTGAGCTCAGCTTAGGTTACAGCCGTCCCCAGTGCTGAACAAGGTGAAATTTATCTTCTGGGAATGTAAGTGGGAACATGAGAGCAGCTGCTGTCCCCAGCAGCCTTGGTGGAAGGTGTTCTTCTCCCCTTCACAGGAACAGGCCAGTGAAATTCTGAAGTAGAACAAAGCATTTTCAGATAAAAAAAAAAGTATTTGAAGCTGCAGTGTGAGTTGCTGACAGCCACACCACAGCTCAGCTGTGTCTGCCGGAGAGGAAGGTAGATGTGTCAGGCTGGCACCATAAAACAAAAAAGCCAGGTAAACCAAAGATGACAGTCCTAGAAATCATGGAAGCAAGACCTGGAAGTTTACATGTGTAAATTACACAGTAATTTCCTCGCTCAAGAAACCCAATAAAATCCTGTATTAGGCGCTTCCAGCAACATTTTTATCCTCTATCTCACACTTTGCAAGTGTTCACATACCACATGCGACTGCCTTTACTTGCAAAAACACTAACCAGAGATGGCCTCTCAGGAGAAGGGCTGCTGCTGTTAACAGTAACTCCACTTGAACTGCTTATTGTTTTCATCTTTCAAGCACTGCCTATATGTTGCTAATAATAACTCTTCTGGTAACTATTTCCGTCTTTGCTTGCTTCTGTTCACAGCCACATTCTTTCCCTGAGACATGGCTGTAGCCAACATCCTGTTGCTGTGCTGAGTTTCAGAGCAGGCAGGTATTTTGCCTACACTTAGTAGCAATTACGTATTTGCAAAGAAGTCATATGATCTTTCCTCTAACACTGGAAGAATATGCCTGCAGCAAAACTTCATGCCGGTGTAAGCACAGGATGATTATCATTTCCTAAGAGGCCTCTGGAAAGAAAACTTATGTCAGAATGCTGTTTGACCACAACAAACATATGGTTGAGAAAGTATTGGGCAAACCAGGCTTTATTTAGGTAAGAAAAATAGGAACATTAGATAGCAAAAAACCAGCCAGTACAGCCCACTTCAAAGCCATGAATCACGTGGATCTTGGTGCATAAACAACAGAGAACCATTTTCCACCATTATTCAAATGCAGTAATGGAGACTAAAAAGACCAATCAGACCAATAAAATGACACAGAGTAGATATACCTCGGTGTATGATTATTAATAGACATTAGAAGAAAACAAAAATTATAATTAATTCACTGTTGGAAATGCAAAGGCTTCAACAGGGATTAGCAAAGGGATTTGCTTTATACAAGCCACTGAGAAACGAAGCTGTGAACAGACGCCACACCTCCGCAGTCCGAAGGTCACCACTTATCTGTTCCATCGCACTGGCTCCCTTACAGTTTTTCTCTACAGTTGTTTTTGCTAATGATTCTTTGTGGCAACATTTTGCAGAGGGGACTGGGCTGGTTAGGCTCAGGGTGAATGGACTGCAGGGTGCACCGACCTGCCCGGTGATTCCCAGGCGGAGATCCGACAAATAAACCTGCCCGAGCCCGAACAAACCCCCAGACAGCCGCTTTGGGTCAAGGCTCAGCAGGTTTTCGCCCGCTGCGGTTCGCATCGTGTCAGCACTGCAGAACACTCCGAGGCAGCCCCTCGCAAGGGACGCCCTCCTTCCCCCGCCGCCTCCGGGGCTGGCAGTGACCCTACAGCCCAGCGGAGCGGTCGGAGAAAGGCAGAGCCTCTCGGGAGGGGGCCCGAGCCCCGCCGTGCCCGTGCGTGTCCACTCCCCCCCGGCTCCCCCCGGCGCTGCGGGAAGCGAAGCCCGGCCCATCTGACGGCGGCGGGCGTTGCTGCAGTGCGCGGAGCTGCCGATCCCCGTTGGTCGCTGGAGCGCCGCGGCCGCAGCCTGCCGTGAGCCGGGGAGCTGGTGGGGTGGGGGTGGTGGGGAGCGATCGGCGCGGCGGGCCGGGCGGGAGGGACAAAGCCGCCACCATGTTTGCGGCAAAACACCCGAAGGCGGGTCCTCGAGCAGAGGGGTCGAGCCTGTCTCGCCGGCCCGGCCCGCGGGCACCGGGGTTACCGAGGGGTACTGGGGGGGGGTCGTGTCGCCAGTCCCCGCCGCAGCCGTTGAGATATTCCCCCCCCATCCCCGGGGCGGCCGCTTTTCCCCCTCCCCCCTCTTCCCTCTGCGCGCAAGAGCGCCGGACGTGACTGGCTGGTTCAATTTGTCACGCTGCCATTGGCTGCCAGGGGCAGGGGCGGGTGGTGCGTGACGTCAGCGCGCCGCGCAGCGCGCCCGCTGGCTATTTATAGGCTCGGAGGGGCCGGCGCGTAGGAGCGAGCGGGCGGTCTGGGCGAGCGTTAGGCCGCCGGTTTATCGTGCCGCATCCCCGTGAGGGCAGGGAAGAAGCGACTGAAAACCCTCGATTCGGGTTCGCCGGAGCGTTCTTTCGGCGGCCGCTGAGCTTTTGTTTCCGTTTGCGCAGCTCCCGAGCGCCCCCACCGAGCTTTGTCTTCTCGCGGCCCCTGTGGGGAAAGCCGCGGCCAAGATGGACCCCTGTCACACTGAGGAGACCGAGGGCGAGATCCCCGGCTTGGGTAAGGCCCGGCTGGGGGGGGTGGGTGGGGTGGGGTGGGGTGGCGTGGCGGAAGGAAAGCGGGAGGTGAGGCGGGTGGGGGGGCCGGTTCCGCCCGATCTGAGGCCCCGGCGCCTTCGAGCCCCTCCTTGGCGCCTGCTGGCGGCGGGGGGAGGCCGCGCACCGCGCCACCGGCGGGAGGTGGGGGCTAAGGGGAGCGGTTCGGCCTAGTCTGGCACAGCCGCGTGCGCCCAGGCGCTTCCCTCCCCCCCCCGCCGCGTGCGTCGTGGCGGCCGCAGCGGTCGGCGGGGCCTCGGGGCGGCGGCTGCGCTCGGGCGGGGGAGGGGAGGGCGGTTGCGGGGTCGTTGTCCTGCTGCCGCCTCTGGTGCAAGCGCCGGCGGGTGCTGCCCCGCCTGCTCCCTGCTGTCACGGGGGGGGAGTAAGAGGAATGGAGGGGGGGGAATTTGTTTATTCGGGGGGTGGTGGTAAACGAGAGATGTGTGAGCTGCAGCTCGTTACAGGTGTAACCCTTGCGACTACAGTAGCGTCCATCACTAAGTAGTGCAAGTGCTGTGAAAAGAGCCATTCAATAAAGCATAAGTTGAAAGTAAAGCTTTCTGGACGCCATAACAGTCTCGTCTTAAAATGGTGAACTATGCCAGTTATTGCAAAACAACTCTGCCTCAGTGCCTCTCGCCTGTGTGCTGCTGTGTCAGCCACTGGCAATAGCTTAAATCCTCTGTTACTGAAGACAGCTTTTAGTCGGTGTTTGTTTATTACAAACAGCAAAGAGTAGACATAAAATATATTATCAAAGCATCCCATATTTAACTATACAGAAAATTATGTCAAAACCTGCACAGGTAAGACTAGCAAAAATCCCAACCAAACCATCCTTTGCATTTCGATCTTGCCTTGAAATAAGCTATACATGCGATGCATTCAGTTTAAATCAACATGCTGATTGATAAGTGTAGCTCTCGACCTTCAAGAACTTTTCATTCAGATTAATTTTCATCATCCTAAGAAGTCAGGAAGGACTTGACCTGTGAAAACAGAAAGCAAATATGTTTGCTGCATTAGAAGGAAAGTCACTAGGCTTTTCCCAATTTGTTCTTAGCGAACAAATGGTCTGCTACAGTCCCTAGTGCTGTTCTGCCTCTCTGTATAATTCATGACGTGAAATGTTTTTCAGTATAGCCTGTGACTGAATCGGAGATCTGTCTAAGTAGAATTGACTTTAATTATTTTAAAATAACAGGGATGTCTGAAAGGCAGCTTCTGGAATGCTTTATGGAATGTTACCTCATTAAAGAAAATGGAGTTCTACTTCATTAGGGAGTTCTTGCCTATGAAGATAGGGACTGTCTGAAAACTAAACCAACTACCTGGCAGAACTTTCATGGTACAGTACCCCTGCCCCAAACTGAAAGTGGAGCTGGCTTTTCATATACTGGATGTGAGGGGAGTTTGGTGGAGACGCCACCTGTGGCCTTCCAGTGAGGCAAATAAAAAAAACAGGTCCACAACTGAATCTTGTGCTCCCCTTTCCAGTTTATATAGAAATACTTAATTGGAGGAATTAGGCTTGACTTGAAGGAGTCATTCTTCAGTAATCTCAGATGAATGACACACAACAAGATGGAAAATATGGTTTGTACAGTTCGGGAGGAAGGTACTTCTGTCCATCTTACAAAAACAGTCTTGTTGGGGCAGTGGGAAAGAAAAGGTAATGTGTCCTGGGGTAAATAACTAATACTGCAGTTCTGCTTGGAGGACTGGAGCTGAGCCCCATGCCTTTAAATATTGGGAGGCTGAGGTTTGATGTGGTGTGGTCTAGGTACTGCACAGCACATGCCTCCAGCAGGAGCACTCTTTTAGGCACGTAGTTCCTGAGTCTTACCTAGCAAACACCATTTTGAGTCAAATGACATAATTATTATCACCTTGTTCCCTCAAATGGCTGTTGGCTCTCCCTCCCAGCTCTTCTTAGAAATGTCACTTAAGGCACTGAGAAATATGTAAAAGGTTTAGTTATCTCTGTGAGTCAGATGTATTGCACTCTGTCCAGAAAGACCATAGATCCCTAGAGTATAGGTGTGGAGGGGGCATAAACAGCTCTAAGCTGGCTGCAGGATTTTCTGAGGACATCATGGCTGACATGACTTAGACAGTATCATTCTGTGAACTATTTAATGAACAGTGTGGCAGCACAGACTTGGCAGGGAGTAGTCTGACTAAGCCAGCTGCTGTGTACTTGCACCCCTTGCAACTGCCCCTCTTTAAAAACAATTTTCTCTTGAGTTCTGAGGATAGGGAGGTGGCATTAAAACAATTCCTCTTGAAGCGAAAAGCCTTTTCTGCAGCCATGTAACCAAGTCTGTGAAGGACTGACTATACTAGCCCAAACAAGCACTTCACACAGTTCAAGAATGTAATTTGATAACTTGCAGCTACTACTGCAGATGAAAAGCAGATAGAAGGAAACAAATAATGCTCACCTTATCGATCAGGTACTCCTGTTTAATCTTGTCATTCTTAAAATCTTCATTAACATCCAAAACTAGAACGGGAATCTCCTTAAGGTTCTCAAAGTCAACTCTGTTAAATGAGAAACATAATGCTAGTAAATTGTATAAAGCAATCTAGCTCTTTGGTTGCTTTCCAAGTCATCCTAAGGGTGCAGCATTACTCAGATTACCACATGTACTGGATCCCAGGACTTAAGTATAAGCCTGTCCTTAATTGCTCTTCTACAACCCAGTCAACATTGTGTCACTGTAACTTTAATGTAGTTCACAAATCTGGCCTTTTAATATCTATTTTTATCATACAAGTATGGTAGAAGAGATGGTTTATGCTTCTTACCTTCATTTGTTCTTTTTGTTATGGAATCAATTATCAGCATTATGATTTTGGTAAGAACATTTTAAAAAACAAATATTGCCCTTTGTTTCTCCCAGTCTAATTAACTAACTCCTAATCCATTTACTAAGATGCAGTTTTAAAGTTTCCTTTTGTGGGGAGGACCTCTTAAGTTTTAAGACTGGTATTTAAAATGGCTGCGAGCTAAGACCATTTTGGCTACAGGCTAGGAGCAGATGGGAGAGTAGTTGTGCAACTGGATGGTTGTTCCCTTAAAGCAGTAGTTACTCTCTCTTTGTAGTTTTGAACAGCATTTCTAAAATGCAGTAAGTGTGCAGAACCACCATTCTATTGTAAGTTGTATTTTACAGACTTAAATATTCCTGAAAAATACAGGAAATGCTTGCTCATGAGCTTGAAATGAGTATACAAGGTAAATGTTCCCAGAATTCCACAATATGCAGTGCCTTCTTGTCTCATTAGCATTTGGGTTGTCCTACATTAAGCTTGGGAAGGGAGATGTGACTGATAACATATTTTTCCTGGAATTGTTATGCTTCCCATTCAGTAGAGCATTCCAGGCTTCTCAAGGGAGAAGTATAAAGTCTGCTTTCCTATTTGGAGATGCCTGGGGTGGGTAAACTAGTTAAGAGTAAGACAGCTGGGGTGGGAAAGTATATTGAGATGACTTAGTTGCTGACTGTCTTGCAGGTAATAGTGCCTGCCAGAAGCCTTTCTGCTCATTGTTTATTTTGAAGCTAGGATTAATATTTAACCCTTATTGAAATAGACTCTAGTTGAAAGCTAGTTGGGACCTTGCCCTCCCTTACATTGGAATGGTAACCTGCTAAGTAGGTAACTTAGGTGAACAGTGACAGAACACCCCTTCAGCTGTTCTATTCCTGTGTACTTCCAGTTAACAAAAAACATATCCCTGCTGGAGTTGAAGCTACATAGCTTTTTAGTTGAAGCTAATGCTAGGCTTTAAAGTAGATGAAGTTCCATCTCTTGGCAATTTTTACTTCCTTGCCAAGATGACCTTCCCTCTGCATGGAACTTAGAACCAGTATCTCTGTAGCAAGAAACCTGGAGTGGGTCTAAATTTAATTTTATCCTTAATCAACTTCAGCACAAAGCAGGTAAGAGCCTTGCCTGTAAGTTGAAACTTGCCTATAAAAAATAGATTCATACCTCATAGTCCTTTCGTGAAGCCAGGTTTCATGTTTATAGTGGAGGTTTTCCAAATACTCAAGTTCAATTCCTTGTTCCTCCTCTCTTCCTCTCAACTGTAGCCTTTCCATGCATTTCTGGGGGGAGGAAAAAAGGGTAAGACCAAATAGTAATCACGTGTTGAAGGTGAAATCAACTGAACAGATTAAATTGGAAAGAGTAATGTTAGATGTTACAATTGATTTAAATGCTTGGCTGAACATAAGTTACATCTAAAATAACTTTTAAAAGGCAACCAAAACTAAACTTGAGCCACTTCAGCTAACATCTAGTTCTTATTTCCTCTTTACTGAACATACCTCAGGTGTAGTTCTTAGGTAGATCATGCCATCCAGTTCTATATCTGATTCAAACTGATTCAAAAGCCATGAGTGCCAGTCCTGATAAATAGCCCACTCTGTTTCATTAATGTTTCCAGACTCAAACAGGTTAGAAGCAAATACGTATCTGCAATTAAAGACATTAGTCTCAGGCCAGGAATGACCAAAGGGAACTACTAAAATTGACTGAATCAGAATCGTGATACTCAGATGAATGCAGCTGCCTACTCTGTCATTCATCGAGTACGCTGAGTCCCATCCACCTCCCACTGTTGAATCAAACCTGCTCCTTGCAGGTAATAGTTTAATATTGAGTGTTTTTCCAGCTACAGGTCTTTATGATAAAGACCTGGAGCTGTTAATCTGAACCCTTGTGCATTGTGGGAGTAATTACCTGTCACTGTACACAGATCTCTCAAAGAACTGCACTGGGTGTTCTGCTTCCCGAAGTTTGGCCGAGACAGGTTTTAACTGTGCTCTCACTCTGCTCAGGCAGGCGTAAGTCTGGAATGTGTAAGCCCATCGTGTGGGTTTGTCGTACAGCATTTGGAGTAAATTCCCTCCGCTCTTCTGAGATGTTGAAAGTTCCTGGGGGACAAGAGAAAATTTAACACCAGCATCTTTATAGGATTTTACTCTTTTGCCTCGAGTAGGGGTTATTTGGAATTGGATTCAGTAGTATCTTCCTTTACAGTTTGTCTGGCCAGTTGGTGTATGATAGTGGGGATAACTCCCTGCCTGTTTACTGCAGTGTGTGATCCATCTGTTTGCCCAAGCTCCCCAGTGCTGCACACCTACTTTATGCTCCTCTTCAGCTGTCTGGATGTTGCACCACTTGGCAATGGGTTCGGGGATGATCTCCCACTCATCACTGTGTTTCTCTAGTAGCTTGACAAACGTTGACTTCCCTGCAGCTGCAGAAGATGGGAAAAACTCACTGGGGGTGCAGGTTAGACTGGTGGTAGATGGGCAGTTGTGAAGTTTGTGAAGGAGGCTACAGGCAATGTGGCCGTGGTGTTCGTGCGGAGCTGCACGGCGCCCCGGGCAGAGCAAGGGATGTTTGGTTTGCCTGCACTGTGCTCCTGGTGCACGTTCCGAGAAAACGGCTATAATCGCCGTCGCCAGCAGGCCGCAGCGGGGCCAGGCACCCGATAAAGGCCACGGTGGGGCGTTCCGCCGCCATCTTAGGAGCCGGGGTGAGGCTCGGTGCGCGCCATCGCAGAGCAGCGGCGGGAGAACGATTCCGCGCATGCGTGGCGCCCAAGGGGGCCTTTGTGTGGCCTGAGGCCCGGAGGTTACCGCCTCAGAGCACACCCAACGGCCGTTAACGCCAGTGCTGCGCCCTCGCTGTAACAGACGCTCCCGTACCCCGGGCCATGGCGCCGGCTTCCCAGTATGGCCGGGAGCCGGTATCGGATCAACAGGACCCCCCCGCCTTCCTGTAGAGGTGGGTGGAAAAGGTCCCTCAGCGCCCCTCTCCCACAGCTCCTCCACCACTGCCCACGCCACCTCGGGGCGGCTTGTCCGGGGGGTGTCCCAACGGCCACAAGCGCTGGTTTTTCCCCCTCCCCGTCTCTGTGCTCACCGATGTTACCCTCGATGGAAATCTTCTTGAGGCGCTTCTGGAAGCTGGAGTCGAGGGAGCCGGTGGGGCTATGGCAGTGTCGCTTGGCCGGGGTGGACATGGCTGTACCAGGCGGGAGCGCTCTGCGTTCCCGGCTGTTCCAGCCCACTTTAAGTCTCCCGCCAACTGGTGGGCGGGATGGCCCCCTCCCGCCACCACTCCCCGGGAAGAGGCGGAGGCGTTCTCTGCCCCTTCCGCCGCCGTTACCGCCCGGCCGCCTTTTCATAGCCCCTGCTGCCTTCAGGGCTTTTAAAACTGGCGATAGGGGAGTGAAATCAAGCAGAGCTACTCTGTTGAGGAAGTTACCATAGAGAGGTCCCATTTAGTGATCTCATTTGCATTACCGAGTTCTCTGATTTAGAGACAAACTTGAGAATGTCCCTCCCTCACCCTCTTCCAAAAAGTCTCCAGCTCTTGGGGGGAGGTAGTTGTTGCTGACCTGTATTTATATGTTTAACATTTTGCATAGTTACACAAGAGGTGAGGCCATGTGGTTTAGCTTAGGGCTGTTTATCAGTTTTGGTATCCATGGGGAAGGGAGCTCAGCCAGCACAGTGCAGGGGTAGATGCCACACTGGGCAGTTTTGCTTAATGCCACCAAAATCCCCATGTCGGTGTGGGCATGCCTGATCTCTGGAGTCTGTTAAACTCCTGGCATGGATGGATTCTCCATCACCTGTATAGGCAGGCTGAAGCTGTGTGTTCCCAGGGTAAAGAAAAAAAAGGGGATGGAGGACTTTAAGAAGAGGTTTAAGCTGAGGTTGTGCTGCTGCTGTTATTTCTGTACCTTCATGTTGCCTGTATGATAATGAGGTTTAGGGTGAAACCTAGCTAGGTCTGGTGTGTCTGGAGGAGATGGGAGGGAGTTATATTTTCCTGTCTCTTATGATAATTGTGACCCATGTCTCTTCTTTCCCCATCTCCTACAAACACACCAGGCTTCAGTGACCGAAGCGAGCAGATTGTTTCACGTGGGGTAGCATCAGCATTTGAAGCTGGTAAGTGCTAGTTCCCGCGCATCTCTTTGTTCAGCCAGACTCCTCCCTCGCTGTGCCGATGGCGAGTGTCGGTACCGGCCCGCCCCCCCCCCCGATCTCCTTTTCCCCTCTTACCCCGCACACCGGCGGCCCCGGAGGGACGGCGGAGGAGGAGGGAGGTGGGAGCCGCGCGCAGTGTGCATAGAGCGGAGTTGAGGCGCATGCGCGCAGGCCCGGCCCGCGCTCCGCGCGGTAGTGCGCGCCATGGCTTTGTTGAGAGCGGGCAAGCAGGCGACGCATGCGCACGGAGCAGGGCGGGGGGTGGGGGAAACAGATTAGTGAGGACGCATGCGTAACCGTGGGGGAGGAGCAGCGCGGTGCTATGGAGCATGCGCGGGCGGGGCAGGAGCACTCGGCGTGTATCCGCGCATGCGCCCCGCAGTCCATCCTCAGCCACGCCGCAGCACCACTCGGGAGCCGGTGGCCACCGCAGGTAGTCCGCGGTCCCGCTCGCCACACGCCGCTCCTCTGCTGGCTACGGTGCGCGTCCGCGGGGACTGTGAGTCGTTGGGCCCACCAGAGAGGTGTCTTTGACCTGGGTTCTTTGTGCGGCGGAAGGCCCGGCCCAGCGGAAGCGGGAGTACCCGCCGCCATTTCCTAGCGCGCTCTCGCCACAGGCTCGCCCGCTCGCTGCCGCCTGACTGGGACTAGGCGCTCTCCGGACAGCGGATCAGGCTCGGAGCCCTAAAACCACCGCGGAGCCCCACCATGTGTGCGTGCGGGGACGGGGGCTGGGCACGGGCCGGGGGGGCGGGAGAGGCTCTGTGTGTGTGAGGTGGGCAGCGGTCCGAGGTAGAGGAGGCTCGGGGGTGGGTGGACACAGGTCACAGGGGCCGCCGGGCGCTCTGAGGGGGTGCGGGTGGCGGCCGTGCTCTGTGGTGTCTCAAGGGGCCTGTTTTGCTCTTCTCTAGCAACCACTGAAGCCGAGACAGAGCCAAGCCTCACCCCCAATGTGATGCTGAACACGGAGAGCAGCGAAGGATATGTGGTGAAGGTCAGGGGGCTGCCTTGGTCCTGCTCCACTGAGGAGGTGCAGAGGTTTTTCTCTGGTAAGCAGAACTGTGAGGGGATGAGGGGCTGGGCTGTGTCAATCCTGGGTTCCTCCTGGGGATGCTGTGGCAGTGGGAATGCTGCAGTGAGCAGTTCCAAGAAGCGTTCAGGGAATTTCAGTAGCTAATAAAGTTTGTAATACAGCAGGTGCCTCAGCTAGGACATGGTGTGGAAAGCCGTTCTCTAGATAGCAGGAACTGGACACAAAGGAGCTCAGTCATCAAGTCACTAGGATATGCGCAGCTGCCTTAGTCTCCTGAGGAGCATGAAGAAAGAAGCTCTCAGAAAACTTTGAAATTCTTACTTTAGAGTGAACTAATCGATTTAGTCCTTGATGTTGTCTTAGTAGGATGTCTTGTGTGAAGTGCGCAATGTGTTGTGTACTTCCTCCTCATTAACATTTTATAAATGACTAACGTTTTACAGTAGTAAATAGTTGTGATAAATACGTACTTTTCTCAGTGGCTGAGGATCTTAAAATGCTTCAGGAATTTGGTGTGTTGGACTTGGTTCTTATTCTGTTCATTACACTTCTGTTGATTGATATTACTCCTTGCTTCAGTTCATACTGATGAGAAAGTTGCGTCAGCTATGGCCAACACATGAACTTGACTTGAGGCAGTAAACCTTTGAAAACAGCTAATTTGCATTTGTCCTTCACGTTTTGCTAATTTTCAGAGTCTGCAAGAAGAGTGACTTGATTTTAGTTATTCCTTTGGTCAGTATTCCTGGTCACTAACAAAATCAGAACTAGAATACTGCTGGCTTTGTCTTCTTGACATGGTAGTTGTTAGTCCTTCCCTTTCAGAATGTCTGAAACTTGTAGAGTTGCATTACAGTGTGTAAAGAGCATTGCAGTGTTCCTGTAACAAATCAATTTTGGCCTGCCTTTTTCACTTCCAGATTGCAAGATTCTGAATGGGGCTTTGGGAATCCGTTTCATCTACACCAGGGAGGGCAGACCAAGTGGAGAAGCATTTGCTGAACTTGAATCAGAGGAGGATGTGAAATTGGCTCTTAAAAAAGACAGAGAAACAATGGGACACAGATATGTTGAAGGTTTGACTCGGTTTTGTAACTGACTAAATATGTTTGTGCTTAATGGGTTTTTGGTTAATTGCCTTTTGTTTCTTTAAAATGCATGGGAAAGGACAAGTGGACTTCTATGTCATAACCTGACTAGTTTCAAGGCAAATGGTTGTTACAGCTGTTGCATATTCCAGAATGCATTAATTCTAAGTGCCTTTTACAGTTTTCAAGTCAAACAACGTTGAAATGGATTGGGTTCTGAAGCATACTGGTCCCAACAGCCCTGATACAGCTAATGATGGTTTTGTACGTCTTAGAGGACTCCCATTTGGCTGTAGTAAAGAAGAAATTGTACAATTTTTTTCAGGTATGTGGGATAAAAGTAGTAGCTATAGCAGTATTGGTTTATGCTAAAAAGAAACCAACAATAACCAAGCAGCTGTGGATGCCCAGTAGTATTTCCAGCAGTAACTGATGGGTGTTAAAAGTAAATAAACAGTTCTTGTTACTTATCTGGGCTTGAAGGCTCAATTCCTGAAGTACTTACTAAATAATTGAGGGAACTCAAAAAATCAGCTCTTGTTTATATTTAATGGGACATACAGTCCCAAGTAAGGGTAGCAGAAAACAAGTGTTTCACTTTGTAAACTCAAAGTGAACAGTTCAGGTGGGAGGATATTTCCACCCCCAGTCTCAGGTGGCTCATGTTGTTCAGCAAAGGCTGTACAACACCCCTAGTGCTGGGTTCAGTACAGGAGCAGGGTCTGAGGAAGGGTGTGCAGTGTGTGCATGGCCTGTCAGAAACATCGAGTTAGTATTGAGTAAGATTCCAGAAAAACATCAACATGCTGAACTCTGCCCAAGTACGGATCTTCCCCCTCCGCTTCCTGGGGAAAAAAACCCTGAAACAATCTTTGGTTTTGTCTAACTTTATCTCATCATCCATAAAAACTTTGTTTTGCATTGACTCATTTTCACTTTTTTACAGCTGTTGTATATTTTATGCCCTGGAATACTGTTATAAATGCCTGAGAAAGAACTCTGCTGATTTACTTAGGGTTTGTTAGTGTTTTCAAAGTAGCAAATTTCTAAATGTGAGCATTTAAAATTAGCTGAAATGTTTTGCTATAGCAGGATATGATGGAGTTTGCTGTTTTGCTTTAAAATACGGTATAAATATTTCCGATTTTGCAACTTCAGAACTTGTTTTTTGTTTTCTAAATCCGTATATTTCGAACAAGAGCAGTTCCTAAGCATATGCATTTTAAGTTGTTTCTTTCTTACATGGTTACGTAATTCAAGCTTTAAAAACCGTTAATGTGCTTAATATACAAAATGTGCCTCTTCTGTTCAGAAACTAATACTTTTGAAATTACTTCATGATTTTTTCTTAATTAAGCACTCCTAAAGATAAAAGAAATTAATGCTGAAACTGATACTTGCATAAGACTAATAATTTTACCTTAGTGACTTCTAGTAAAAATACGTGTCATATATAGATCTGTTTAACTTGCTGTGTTTGAATTTAAGTTAAAGATCATCTTAAATACTTTCACAGAATTGAAGGTTTGTAATATGTGAACTTCTTAATGTGCCCTGCATTAGATGCCTGGTCTGAGGAGTTGTCCCTGACACTCAGAATGTTTTCTGTGCTCTGCAGGGTGCATTAAGAACATAAACTGAATGGTATGTTGTTGACATGCTTTTTATTCTGCTGTTCTGGAATCAACATACCATTCACTTACAAGTGTTAAAGTTCTGGTGTATTTAAAGCTATAAGAACTCATGACTGGGCTTGTGATGTTAATATTGCCCCCCTACTGGGGTTATTTGTCCTTGGGTTGAAGGGTTGGAAATCGTGCCAAATGGGATAACATTGCCGGTGGACTTCCAGGGGAGGAGTACGGGGGAGGCCTTCGTGCAGTTTGCTTCACAGGAAATAGCTGAAAAGGCTCTAAAGAAACACAAGGAAAGAATAGGGCACAGGTGGGGATGGATGGTTGGTTGGCTCTGTCACTTTTCTTATGGTAAACCATTAAATCCATATTCTCTCTTCTGAAAGCTTTAACATCTCACCAGAAACACTCTGCTGGTCTCTAACTTGGCTATAAGTAATGCTGTTGCTAATGTGCCTGTGGCACAGGTTGTTTGGATCTACCCAAAATGAAAGATGAAATTGGGCCAAGCTGAAATGTGCTTTGGAAACTGAGTAATAATGGAGAGTACAAAACTTGATAGCTTGAATGTGACAAAGTTGAGAGACTATGGCTTTAACTTCTCAAATAGCACCAATTATGCCTTTAGCTCTAAAGACATGCACAGTACTCTTACTACCATAAGAAAATGTGATACTTTCTAAACTTGTCTTATAAGTTGAAATGTAACAAATTTTACTTACTGTATTAATCTTCAATGTAATAAGCATAGCTTTCAAGAAATTGTCACAAAGGGGTTTTATTCTATTTGACTTGTGACTATTTTTCATTGAAGCATGCACTTTTTGCCTACGCTGAGTCTCTGAAGCATAGGCTGGGTTCAGTAGCATATGCCAAGCTTCTTGTAGCATCCTGATGGGTTGAAGTCCTGGTGGAGGCCAGGTTTTTAACCCTCTATTTCCATTGCCATGTGAGCAAAACAGTGCTGAGTTGAGTGGACACAGTCCCTCCTATGGTGTTTTTTTTTTTTTTTTTTTCTGACTAACACTTTAAATTTGGGGGGAGGAGGGTTGGGAATCAATATTGCTCCCCCACCCTTAAGGTTGGGATACTGCAAAGTATGTTAGGAGCATGTAAACCCTTCAGTAATTGTAATTTCTTGAAAATACACTGATTTGGAAGTAATGTAGTGCTTAAAATAGTATGTCATTGCCTACATAATGTAAAGAAACCTGGCTTAAAATACACTGCCAGTTTCAAGGCTATGACGAAATGGCTTGTTTTAATGTAAAGTTGTGTTTGTGGAAGTAATCAAAGCCTGACTTCTTTCTGTGGAAACGCTTTGTAGGTACATTGAGATCTTCAAGAGTAGTCGAGCAGAGGTGCGCACTCACTACGACCCTCCCCGCAAGCTGCTGGCAATGCAGAGACCTGGTCCTTATGACAGACCTGGTCTCACACGTGGATATAACAGTCTTGGTAGAGGAAGTAGCTTGGAAAGGATGAGGCGTGGAGCCTACGGAGGAGGTAAGTAGATGGTGTCCAAGAGAGAGCTGCTCATCTGAGAAGCAGCAACACTTGGACCTGGTAGTGTCCTCCATACTTTGTAATTGCTGGTTTGTATATGTGTATATGTCGTTGGCTTTACTTCTTCTGGAAGAAAAGAAACTTCCTAATACTAGTTGTCTGCAGTGTGCTCATGTGCATTTGGATTTTTCTGTAGTTGAAATGAACATGTTGTCCAATCTATTTATAGGTTATGGAGGTTATGATGACTACAATGGGTATAATGATGGCTATGGTTTTGGTTCTGATAGATTTGGAAGAGGTAAGAGATCTCTTAATAGGAATAGTAACTGAACTTACAATACGTCTCAAAAGAACCTAAAATACATCTGAAAGACCTAGAATGGACTCTCTTCTCTGCAGGGATGTCGGACCACAGATACGGCGACGGGACGTCCACCTTCCAGAGCACGACTGGCCACTGTGTCCACATGAGAGGGCTGCCCTACAGAGCTACGGAGAACGACATCTATAACGTGAGTCACAGAGCAACTCTTCTCCCAGTGCATGGCTTCCACATTCTGTACCCGTTACTGGAGGTGCCCATGGCACAGCAGTTAACGAGTGCTCTATTAAGAGGAAGCAGTTTGCTGTGGGACTCAGCTCTTGCGTTGGTGCGTTTTAATCTGTGTGACTGTTCCGTGTAGTTCTTCTCACCTCTGAACCCCGTAAGAGTACACATTGAAATCGGACCAGACGGCAGAGTAACTGGAGAGGCAGATGTGGAGTTTGCTACTCATGAGGATGCAGTGGCTGCGATGTCCAAAGACAAGGCAAATATGCGTAAGTGCGCCTGTTCTTCAAGGGGGAGCAGCACTGCTATGTCTCTCCTCTCACTGGAGAGCTGGTGGTGTTCCTGCAGCCCTGCTCACGGTGTGGCAGACTCTGTGGGATTCATGTGAAATGTTCTCATGGCAAATTCTTCTTCTTCCAGAACACAGATACGTAGAACTCTTCTTGAATTCTACAGCAGGAGGAAGTGGTGGTGCTTATGGCACTCAGATGATGGGCGCAATGGGTATGTGTAGACAGTCTTGAGTGTGCTTCTGAGCCAGCGCTTGATATTTAATGAAGCTGGCTCATGTTGTACAGCTCCTGCTTGTTCTGTGCCTGGCACAAACTGAAATCCAACATTCTGTCTTAATCACACAGTCAAGGAATCGGAAGGGGTAGTCCAAGATTGGAATACTAGCACATTGGCAGGTACTGTATACCTTTTTGGAATACATTCAAACAGTTAATAGGCTGAATAAACTGTGATGCTGACTGTGGTGTGTGTAGTGGGGTGAGAGGCTTTTGGGAGGGGGTGGTGGTGTGAAAGCAGTGTAGGGGATGCCTGTGCTCTTACCTTACTTCCCTCTCCCTTGATTTTGGAAACTGGAATGTCATCTGGTGATGGAGGGTGTATCTGTGGCACCACCTGTGACCTGCTGTTCAAGTCTGGGCTTGGTGGTAAGGGAAAAACTGATCTGGAATTTGGAGAGACTGCCTGGATTGCTTTAGCGAACTCCAGGAGTGCTTGAAAATCTAAACTATGTTTGCAACATGAGTTAAACAAGCAATGCCACTCTGTAGAGCAGATACCCTTCTTGATACCTGACTTGTCTGGTTTCTTGGAGATCATAGTGGTGGTTGGGTTTTGGGGGGGGTTGGTTGGGGTTGTAGTACTTTGATAACAAAACGCTTGAAGTTTAGTGCTGCTGTTCTAATGGCAGGTGTTATGGGAGCATAGACAAGTGATGAGGTGAAGAGCAGTGTTTGGTGAGCTGAAGCAGAAGGTCCCCTGTGTGGTGAGCCATAGTGCTGCCATGATACACAGCCAATGTGGAATGGGAGTGAGTCCCTGCCAGGGAATGTGCTGGGGTGACTCTATTTGATGAGTCAGTGTGTTGATGACAGCTGCAGTGCTGTGTAAGGGCACTAAAGCCGAGCTCAAGTCTGTTGGGGTGTCTGTGATATACAGTAGCAGATTGATCCCGCTACCTCTAGCCCCTAGAAGCTGCACAAGTAAACCCTTAGTGAGCTTTAGGTAAGGGGTAGGTTTGCTTATGATGAGCAGACTTGGACAAGCAAACTCTTACCGCTTCTATCCTTAACTCCAAAGGAAGCCAATCCAATTATGGTGGCCCAGCCAACCAGCAGCTGAGCGGTGGTTACGGAGGAGGATACGGCGGGCAGAGCAGCGTGGGTGGCTATGGTAAGGACAGCTTTTGTCTGGGTCAGAAGGTGCAGCTGGCTGAGCAGGGCTCACAGCACTGCTCGCTGGCATCGAGGGGTTGTACTTCAGGCTGGGCAGTGCTGCAAGCTGACAGCTTGGCTGGTGTGAACCTGCACTAACGGGGAGCTGGCGGGGATATATTCAAAGTGGAAACTTGGTGCTGGGGGTGGGAATGTGGGAAACCATTCTGAAAAGGGGTCAGCAGTGCTGGTCCCTGGGCTTGTGTTGCTCTGCTCGCTTACTTGGTGTGGAAGCTGGAGACCAGCCTGGCTTCAATACAGCATGAAGCAAGGGGGGGGATGGGGCACATGGGAGGCTGGGTCCTCCCCGCTTCTATGGGGCAGTTCAGCTGAGCTTGGAAGCGGGGTGAGACAGAGCTGGCTCTTTTCATTAACAACCACCAAACTCCATGACGTTGGGTACGGAGCTGTAAACTGCCACTTTGCAGCGTTGGGCACAGTAGACGGTATTTACGAGGTGGCCCAGCAAGGACAGGCGTTGGGGGAAGGATGCTACGAATCGGCCTGAACCAGCTGTGAACCTGCTGTCGGTTTCCCCCCCAGACCCCGGGAGCCAGGGCGCCATGAACAGCAGTTACTACAGCAGCGGGAATCGCACGTCCATGGGAGTGAACGGCATGGGCGGCATGTCCAACATGCCCAACATGAGTGGTGGCTGGGGAATGTAACCGAGCGCTGACTTTTGGTCACATCCTTTTTTTAAAAAACAAAAAAACAAAAAACTAAGTTTAACAGTTTTGCAATACGAGCTTGTGATTTCTGCTTGACTGTCAGTGAACCCACGATTGGTCTTTTAAAAACCCTTCAGGTTCAGTATTTTTGAACATACCGAAATCAAACCATTCACCTAGGATGTAATAACCGAGTTGAGTAAAAGACTATAACTGTTAAACAACTTCAGGCGTTTCTCAAGTTAGTTTTGTTGTAGGAGTGTATTTAAGCAGTAATAAGCATATTTAGGTTAAAGCTGTTTGAATTACGTTAAATGTTGCTCTTATACCATATTACATCCGACACTGTTTTGAATACGTGTGGAAGGAGATGCTTCTTTTTGTAAAGAACTGATGCTATAGGAGCTGTGTCTGAAATTCAAAGTGAACATTTGGCATGTTAGTTCTAGTTTCTTTCTTTTAATACCCTGTAAGGCATGTTAAAGCTTCTTTATTTTGGATTTTTTTTAAGTTAATGGGGAAACATGTTGAGACGCAATACGGCTACTTTAGGATTTGGGTCTTGGTGTTCGTATACAATTCTGAGGCCTTGATTTAATCTTTTCATTGTATTGTGATTTCCTTTTTAGGTGTATTGCGCTAAGTGAAACTTGTTAAATAAATCTTCCTTTTAAAAACTGGAACTCTCCCTCCTTCTTGTAGCTGCCTGTGGGGGGGGGCCTTGGGAACTCTTGACACCTAACATGTGCCTGCCATGAGCAGTGTGCCTGCTCCTAAGGAGCATTTTCACCCCAGTGGGACAGTGGTGATGACCACCTGCAGGGTGGGAATTGAGTCAGAGCATGGCATAGCTGTGGTGGGACTGAGCATGTGAGGCAAGAGGTGATTCTGCATGGCCTCAGCTGCATTACTGCAGCAGTGGACAGGGCAGCACAGTGTAGCTGTGCTGCAACAAATTGAGCTTGTCGAAGGTCATGCTTATCAAAGGTGGGGGGTTTACAAGCAGCTTGGGTCCAGCTTTTGAGCACTGAAACAAATCTGCTTCCACAGATGTGCCAGGGTGAATCTGCTTGCCCTTTCAAACAGTTCTTCCCTGAGGGTTGGAAAGGGAAGGGCCATTCCTGCGCTGAAGGAAATCTCCCATGTTCTGGGGCTTAAATTGGGATAATTCCATCCCATTGCCGCAGTAAAGCCACCGTGTGCCTGGCTCAGGACAGCCCTGTGTCCCTGCTGCTCCCATGGGAGGTGGCTGGAGCAGCCGCGTTTGCTTGGGTCTGAATGAAGCCATTGAATGAGTCTGTGCATCATCACGTGCATGGCCGCCGCCGCATCACATGGCACTGATGCGGCAGCATGGCCACTGCTGCCCCCATCACTGCTGTGCTTGGTGTTACTGCAGGGCTCAGTGCCCTGACACCAGCAGCAGAGCTGGTGATCCATTAGCGGGGTCTATTGAGTACAAACTGGACTTTGGAACCTGCCTCACTCAGGTGGGGGCTGGTGGAGGGGGAGGTGGCTGCCCGGTTGTCCTGGCGTGTTTACAGTGAGCTGGGAATGGAAGCAGAAAACCCCAGGAGGTGCACTGCAGCAGCCCCAGATTGAGCCCTCACCTGGTGGGGCCGTACGCAACCCCTCTGACAGCTGTTAAACATCAGAACTCGATCTCACTTTCTGTTCTTGCAAAAGGCTTTATTGTGTAACAGTGACTCAGGACAAGTACAATGTGTAGTTTCTGATGGCAGTGACCAGAAGGCACCTTCATTGACACCATAAAGCTCTTTCTAGAGACAACCATAAATTGGCTTTTCCTCCCCACACTGGAAGCAGACACGGACTGAGCATCAGCCTGTGGAGGAACAGAAGCACCTACAGCAGCGTAGGGAGGAACTAAAGTTAATGTGCAGAGCAACAGAGATGTCTGTGGGATCAAACGGACGTAGAAAGGCCATATACAAATTTTAATACAAATATCTATAAAAATCAGAAAAGTGAAGTTACATTTTAGTTTCAAATAGAACTATCAGGGAAGTTACAACTAATACAGTTTCCTTAATTATTCCAGTGGGAGAAACATGCGTTTGCATCATCCCTACACCTTGTTTCACGCTGCTGGGGTACAGTGGAAACCACCACAGAGCAGCACCTGCTCCATGGACAATGCCTGCAATTCAGTTACAAAAATAATGGCTACTTTCCATGGTAAAGGGCAAGGTTCCGACAGCCTTAGGAGGAGTTAGAGGAACACCGCTGGAGGAGTAAAGTGTGACAAGTGTCACAGACACGGACGGGTTTAGGGTATGATGGCAGCGCCAGTTCGTTACTGGAACAAGTGTTGCAGAAGATGTCCCCGCAGTTCCTGCAGTGGTGCTGCAAACACAGGGTTACAATCAGCACAATGCCAGAAAACCCAGCACGAGGGAAAGTGAAATCAGACCTCAAAGCAGCTTTTGGAGCAGACTTACATCACCCTCCACTCCCAACAGGCCCAGCCCTCTCCACAGCTCTGCTCTGCTGTGATGCCTGCACAGCCCAGCTGCCCGCCTGGGCTGGAGGAGCTGCTCTGCTGCTGCTCTGCAGCTCACCAAGCGGGCAGCCCCTGCTTCCAGCAGAGCTCTATGGGAGGAGAGCTGGTGGCGGGGCTGCTGGGGACCCCATGCAGCCACCTCCAGCTGTCCCAACCCACCAGCAGGACCCCAGCACTGAGGCACAGAGCACCCAGACCTCCAACAGGGAGGAGAGGAGAACACAGTACAGGAGAATTCAGCCTCCAACAGCTCCCTACCAAGCACAACACCACTATTTTTAGCACAGGAAATGCCGAATTACTTCTCCCTGTAGTTTTCATGCCAACCAGATCTGGAACGGAAGCATCTTCCCCAGCAAACAACAGCACAGTTTCTGTTTTCCATGACAAAAAGGAAAAAACAAGCCCCGGAACACCACTACCTTCCTTCTGGAGATCGAGAACTCCTTGTCACATTGCTTGCAGTGTGTGGCTTCATCATCCTTCAGCCAGGTATGACCCTAGAAAATGGGAACAAAAAGTCACTGCAGGTACAAGTTCATTTCTAAAATACAATTGAAGGGCAGTTTGCCAATGGTGCTGATGTTCTTCCACAGCCACCTTTGGGAGCAGGCTAACCAGGGTGAAACGTGAAGGTACCAAATGAAATGTGTATGTTCAGTCAGATCACCCATGAGGTGGAAGTACCTTTAGTGCTTTATTTACTTCTTTAATATCTTCCATCTTCAGCTTTGATCTGAAAAATAAAGAACAAAATGATTCCCTCTGCATGACTTTACCTTCAGGCACGTTCCCTCTGACCTGCAGTCCCACTGCCAGCCACTGAATCGGAACTGATTCTTCAGTCGGTTCCATGCTCAGTATCACCAGGAAACCTTTGTCATTGTCACCTCATGGTTTGCCTCTTTTCCGTGTATTCGGAGGAATGTGGGACAAGTGCAGTTCCTCCTGAGAACTAAGCATTTCCTGTACTGGTTCCTGTCTTGGCCATCTTAGTCATGCAAGGATCTCCCCTTGCTTTTATTTCATAGCTGTTTAGTTCCCTGTGCATAGGAGCTGCCTCCTGAACTTCTCAGGTTTATTAACACACTGGATGTGTTCCAAAATGATCTGTATCAGCCTGGTTCTCCCTCCTCCATGCCACTTCCAGGAGTTCAGTTTCTAGGACTTACTGGCTGAGATGAAGTCCCATTTCCTGCAGAGCTTGCTCCTGCTCCTCACAGACCTTCTCTAACTGCTGCTTCTCATCTTGCAGTTTTCTCAGTTCCTACAAAATCAAGCACAAACCCAAGTTTGACCCATAGCCTCGGTCAGTCTGTCCAAGCTACCCAAGCAGTTCACACAAGTAAGCTCCTTACAATACTACCTGTTTCTAAGGTGTAATTTTTAGATGACGTGGGTGAACTACCCATGGGCTCTGCACAAACCATTAGCCAGACGTACCAGAGAGAGGGAGATTTTCAGGCTTTAGACCTCCTTGAGCATTGCTGGAGTGCAGCAATGCTGTGCCTGCACATGAGTACATACACAGACACTGGTGTACAATTGTGTCTTCAAAATCTAAACTCCCAGAGACAGCAGCAAATGCTTGAAAACATGTTCTTAGGTTTGTTTAAACACAGTTGTAAGACCTCCCACAGTCACCGAAAGCCAAGAACTTGCCACTCTACAGGAACAGGGCTGTCCCACCAGGGGACAGCAGAGGAGCTTTGTGTCCCCAGCTATCCCATCTCAGCTGCAGCTCCTGACGGGCCACGGCTCAGTCATGTGGCTGAGGCAGGGCAGGGAACTGGAGGTGGCTGATGAGGCTGCTTGACTTTTGTCAGGCCTGAGCCCTGTGTTAGCATCTCATGTGCAGACTTGTCTTACATCAGCCAAGCTTTGGAAGCCCTCAGAGGAAACCCTCTACTGCAGATATAAATACAGCATTGGTGCTGAGTCAGCTCCAGGCCTGAACTTGCACTGTGCATACCTTTTTCAGTCCTTCCATTTGCTGCAGTTCTGTTTTAAGCAGGCTGGCAGCATCCTTCTCCTGGTGGAGTTCTCTTTGCAAAGTCTGTCTCTGTTCCTTTTCAGACTTTAATTCCTTTTCCAGAGTTGAGCTATTTAAAAAGAACTCATTCTAAGAAACTCTATAGCAGAAAAATACCGCACAGCGCTTATTGATAGCAACAGGATGAGAAGCAAAATCCTACTGCACAAGAGCGCAAAAACTTGAGTGGTGTTCTGGGAAAGAACAGGGGTGCTATGGCAGCAGACATCAAAAGCTGTATTAGCATTTTCAGATCACAGAAAGCAAGCAGCAGTGAATGGCTAGAAGAAAAAAGGAAAAAACCCAAACCAAACCCCCAAACCCAATCCCCACAGCCACATACTCGACCCCCTCTGTTTAAACTGCCATGTTTAAAAATGACACTCTGTTATGAATCCCCAAACCACTCCCAACCTCCAACCTGTTTGGATGCCAGTCACTTGCTCAGCCTACAACCATGACGATGTTTATTTTGTGGAAAAGCAATGGAAAGCTCCAAGGCCACTCAGAATGGCCAGACTTCCACTGGCATTTCATGCTCTAAACTGGATGTTCTGGAAAAAAACCCACATTTCCAACCCCTCCTGCCACCAGTGATGTACAGAAGGGTTGTGCTTTCCTGGGTCAGTACTTGCCAAACTGTGACCTGGCCCTTTGAGACCTGAGCACCACAGGAGTAGAAAGCACTTCTTAAAGCAATGGCAGAAGGGAAGTTAAAAACCACAATGAGACTAAATACCATTTACTGTCCAGCTGGGACATCTGCTGCTGGCAGGAATCAAGCCTCCCAGCAAGCTCTTGCTTCATCTTGTTGCACCTTTCTTCTGCAGCCTGCCTTGCCTTTTCTGCATGTTGCAATCTGCAAAGGAACAAACATGTTAATTCACATGCTCCTTACCCGCACCCTCTCATTCTGCTCTTTTAGATTTACCACTCAGACCTTTATAAAAGCTTAAATTGAAAATGCTAATGGAGAAAAAACCCCACAAACCAACACCAGGAAAGCCTCCAGCTGTTCCTGCACACACTCCCCCCTGCCCCAAAGCTGCAGTCCTACCTGTCCTTAAACTAAAGTCAACATGTTTTCAAAACAGCCTGCCTATGGAAAGGGCTATGGTGTTTGAATG